TCCACAGATCTCCCATCACAAGCGACCCAAGGAAGACAACCCAAAGACATACAGTATTTAAAATGGCAAAGATCAAGGATAAGGACAGACTATTAAAAGCAGCCACAGAGAGAAATGAAATTAAATACAAAGGAAAGCCCATCAGGCTATCATCAGACTTCTCAAGAGAAACCTTACAGGCCAGAAGGGAGTGGCATGATGTATTTAATGCCATGAAGCAGAAGGGCCTTGAGCCAAGATTATGTTATCTGGCAAGATTATCATTTAAATTTGAAGGAAGGATTAAACAATTTCCAGATAAGCAAAAGCTGAGAGAATTTACCTCCTACAAACCATCTCTACAGTCTATTATGGAGGGACTGCTATAGATGGAAGTGTTCCTAAGGTTGAATAGCTGTCACCAGAGGTAATAAAACCACAGTAAAGAAAGTAGAACAGCTAATTACTGAGCAAATGCAAAATTAAATTAACTATCTCCAAAATCAATGAAGGGATAGACAAAGAGTACAGAATATGATACCTAATATATAAACAGTGGAGGAGGATGAAAAAGGAAGAGAAAAAAAACCCCTTTAGATTGTTTGCAATAGCATATTAAGTGAGTTAAGTAAGACTCTAAGATAGTAAGCAAGTTAACCTTGAACCTTTGCAGGCTTTAGATTTATGGTTACCAATGGCAATAAGTACTTACCTATCAATAATCACCCTAAATGTAAGTGGACTGAATGCACCAATCAAAAGACATAGAGTCACTGAATGGATAAAAAAACAGGACCCATCTATATGCTGCCTACAAGAGACTCACTTTAAATCCAAAGACATACACAGACTAAAAGTGAAGGGATGGAAAAAGATATTTCATGCAACTAATAGAGAGAAAAAAGCAGGAGTTGTAGTACTTGTATCAGACAAAATAGACTTCAAAACAAAGAAAGTCACAAGAGACAAAGAAGGACATTACATAATGATAAAAGGGTCAATATAACAAGAAGATATAACCATTATAAATATCTATGTGCCCAACACAGGAGCACCATGTGAAACAAATACTAACAGAATTAAAAGGGGAAATAGAAGGCAATGCATTAATTCTAGAAGACTCCAACACTCCACTAACTCTGAAGGACAGATCAACCAGACAGAAAATAAGTAAGGAAACAGAGGCACTGAACAACACATTAGAACACATGGACCTAACAGACATCTACAGAACTCTACACCCCAAAGCAGCAGAATACACATTCTTCTCAAGTGCACATGGAACATTTTCAAAAATAGATAATATACTAGGCCACAAAAAGAGCCTTGGTAAATTAAAAAAGATGGAAATTGTACCAACCAGTTTCTCAGACAACAAAGGTATGAAACTAGAAATAAAGTACGCAAAGAAAATGAAAAACCCCACAAACACATGGAGGCTTCACAACATGCTCCTAAATAACCAATGGATCAATGACCAAATAAAAATACAGATCAAGCAATATATGGAGACAAATGACAACAATAATTCAACACCGCAAAATCTGTGGGATGCAGCCAAGGCTGTGCTAAGAGGAAAGTATATTGCAATACAGGCCTACCTCAGGAAAGAAGAACAATCCCATATAAGCAGTCTAAAGTCACAATTAACTAGAAAAAGAACAAATGAGGCCCAAAGTCAGCAGAAGGAGGGACATTAATAAAGATTAGAGCAGAAATAAATAAAATCGAGGAGAATAAAACAACAGAAAGAATCAATGAAAGCAAGAGCTGGTTCTTCGAAAAAATAAACAAAATAGATAAACCCGTAGCCAGACTTATCAAGAAAAAAAGAGAGTCTACTCACATAAACAGAATCAGAAATGAGAAAGGAAAAATCATTATGGACACAACAGAAATACAAAGAATTATTAGAGAATACTATGAAAAATAATGTGCTAACAAACTGGATAACCTAAAATAAACGGAAAACTTTCTAGAAAAATACAACCTTTCAAGGCTGACTCAGAAAGAAACAGAAAATCTGAACAGACCAATTACCAGCAATGAAATTGAACTGGTAATCAAAAACCTACTTAAGCACAAAATCCCTGGACCAGATGGCTTCACCGCTGAATTTTATCAAACATTTAGTGAAGACCTCCTTAAAGTTTTCCAAAGAGTAGAAGAGGGAATACTTCCAAACTCATTCTATGAGGCCAGCATCACTCTAATACCAAAACCAGCGAAAGACACCACAAAAAAAGAAAATTACAGACCAATATCCTTGATGAACATAGATGCAAAAATACTCAACAAAATATTAGCAAACCAAATCAAAAATACATCAAAAAGATCATCCATCATGATCAAGTAGGGTTTATTCCAGGGATGCAAGGATGGTACAACATTTGAGATTTCATCAACATCATCCACCACATCAACAAAAAGAACAACAAAAACCACACGATCATCTCCACAGATGCTAAAAAGCATTTGACAAAATTCAACATCCATTCATGATAAAAACTCTTAACAAAATGGGTACCTCAACATAATAAAGGCCATATATGACAAACTCACAGCCAACATTATACTTAACAGTGAGAAGCTGAAAGTTTTTCCTTTAAGATCGGGAACAGAACAAGCATGCCCACTCTCACCATGGTTATTCAACAAAGTACTGGAGGTCCTTGCCACGGCAATCAGACAACACAAAGAAATAAAAGAAATAAAAGGCATCCAGATTGGTAAGGAAGAAGTTAAACTGTCCCTGTTTGCAGATGATATGAAATTGTACAAAAAAACCCTAAAGAATCCACTCCAAAACTACTAGATCTAATATCTGAATTCAGCAAGTTGTGGGATACAAAATTAATATGCAGAAATCTGTGGCATTCCTATACACTAACAATGAACTAGCAGAAAGAGAAATCAGGAAAACAATTCCACTCACAGTTGCATCAAAAAGAATAAAATACCTAGGAATTAACCTAATCAACGAAGTGAAAGACCTATAGTCTGAAAACTACAAGACACTCATGAGAGAAATTAAAGAAGATACCAATAAATGGAAACACATCCCATGCTCATGGCTAGGAAGAATTAATATTGTCAAATGGCCATCCCACCTAAAGCAATCTACAGATGCAATGCAATACCTATCAAAATACCAAGAGCATTCTTCAACAAATTAGAGAAAATTGTTCTAAAATTCATATGGAACCACAAAAGACTCCAAATAGCCAAAGCAATCCTGAGAAGGAAGAATAAAGCAGGGGGGATTATGCTCCCTGACTTCAAGTTCTACTACAAAGTCACATTAATGAAGACAATTTGGTACTGGCACAAGAACAGACCCATTGACCAATGGAACAGACTAGAGAGCCCTGATATAAACCCAACCATATATGGTCAATTAATATATGATAAAGGAGCTGTGGACATACAATGGGGAAATGACAGCCTCTTCAACAACTGGTGTTGGCAAAACTGGACAGCTACATGCAAGAGAATGAAACTGGATTATTGTTTAACCCTGTACACAAAAGTAAACTAAAAAATGGGTCAAAGACCTGAATGTAAGTCATGAAACCATAAAACTCTTAGAAGACAACATAGGCAAAAATCTCCTGAATATAAGCATGAGCAACTTCCTGAACACATCTCCTTGAGCAAGGGAAACAAAAGCAAAAATGAACTCATGGGACTACATCAAACTAAAAAGTTTCTGTATGGCAAAGGACACCATCAATAGAACAAAAAGGCATCCTACAGTATAGGAGACTGTATTTGTAAATGACATATCTGACAAGGGGTTAACATCCAAAATACATAAAGAACTTACACACCTCAACACCCAAAAAGCAAATAACCCAGTTAGCAAATGGGCAAAGTATATGAAGAGACAGTTCTCCAAAGAAGAGATTCAGATGGCCAACAGACACATGAAAAGATGCTCATCATCACTAATCATCAGGGAAATGCAAATTAAAACCACAATGAGATATCACCTCACACCAGTAAAGATGGCCAGCATCAAAAAGACTAAGAACAACAAATGTTGGCAAGGAGGCGGAGAAAGGGGAACCCTCCTACACTGCTGGTTGGAATGTAAGTTAGTTCAACCATGTGGAAAGCAATATGTAGGTTCCTCAAAAAACTAAAAATAGAAATACCATTTGACCCTGGAATCCCACTCCTTGGAATTTACCCAAAGAATACAACTTCTCAGATTCAAAAAGACATATGCACCCCTATGTTTATCACAGCACTTTCTACAATAGCCAAGATATGGAAGCAACCTAAGTGTCCATCAGTAGATGAATGGATAAAGAAGAGGTGGTACATATACACAATGGAATACTATTCAGCCATAAGAAAGAAACAAATCCTACCATTTGCAACAACATGGATGGAGCTGGAGGATATTATGCTCAGTGAAATAAGCCAGGCGGAGAAAGACAAGTGCTAAAGGATTTCCCTCATTTGTGGAGTATAACAATGAAGCAAAACTGAAGGAACAAAATAGCAGCAGACTCAGAGACTCCAAGAAGGAGCCAGTGGTTACCAAAGAGGAGGGCTGTGGGAGGGCAGGTGGGGAGGGAGGGAGAAGGGGATTGAGGGTTATTATGTTTAGTACACATGGTGTGGGGGGGTCATGGGGAGAACAGTGTAGCACAGAGAAGGTAAATAGTGAATCTGTGGCATCTTACTACACTGATGGACAGTGACTGCATTGGGGTATGGGTGGGGACTTGATAATATGGGTAAATGTAGTAACCATATTGGTTTTTCATGTGAAACCTTCATAAGAGTGCATATCAATAATACCTTAATAAAATTTAAAAAAATATTATCTGAGAGTTTTTCTGGGTCAGGAATACAGGCACAGTCAGTTTAGCAGAGTGCCTCTGACTCTTGTTCTCTCCCAAGGCTGCAATCAAGGCAGTCATCTCAAAGGTTGACTGAATGCAGACTCCCTCCCAAGTTCATTTAGGTGGCTGTTTGCAGACCTCAGGAGATCAAATTCCAAACTCACTCATTTGCTTTTTGGTAGGTTTCAGGGTCTAGCTGGTGCTGACCGGAGACTTCAGTTCCTTGCCACATGGGCCTCTCTCTACAGAGCTACTTAAAATGGCAGTTTGCTTCCCCCAGAGCCAGACCCCTGAGAGAAAGTAGAGCAAGACAGAAGTCACAGTCTTTTTGTAACCTAATCTCCAAGTGACATTCAATTTCTTATGCAGTAGTCTATTGTTAGAAATGAGTCACTAGGTCCAGTTCATACAGGAGAAAAGACTACACAAGGGGGTGAATGCAAGGAGGCAGGGATTATCTGGGGGCCATTTTAGAGGCTGCCTAACACATTGAGATGATCACGTGTTTTTTGTCCTTTTCATTCTAGAGGGCAGTAAATCTTACCAGCAGTCTATTTTTTATATGGCTCACAAGTTAAGAATGGGTTTGATGTTTTTAAATGGTTGACAGAAAATATAAAGATACTATTTCATGACACAAAAAGTTATATGAAACCTCAGTTCCCAGAAATAAATTATACTGGAGCACAGCTATACTTATTGGTTTATATATTGTCTATGGCTGCTTTTGTAAAACATAGGCAGGGTTGAGTAGTTGTGAAAGAGACTGTATGACCAATGAAGCCTAAAATATTTACTATCTGGCCTCATATAGAAAGAGTTTGCTGACCCCCATTTTACTGTACTAATTATGAGATATTACATTAATTGATTTTCAGATATTAAAGAGATAAATCCTATTTGGTGTTGTCCAAAATTTTTTCATATGTTACTGGATTCTAAAATTTTCCCAAGTATTTTTACATCACTGTTCCTGAGGGATACTGAGGAGCTGATTTCCTTTTATTGTGATGTCTTTGTTTGGCTTTGGTATCAGAAAAATACTGGCCTCGTAGATGAGTTACAAAGTCTTTCCTCTTTTATTCTGTGAATGAGTTTGAAGATTAGTATTATTTCTTTAAATATCTGATGGAAACTACCAGTGAAGCCATCTGGGCCTGGAATTTTCTTTATGGGACAATTATTTTAAAATTTTATTTTGATATCATTAATGTACAATTACTTGAACATTATGGTTACTAGACTCCCCTGATTATAAAGTCCCCCCCCACATACCCCATTACAATCACTGTCCATCATCATAGTAAGATGCTGTAGAATCATTACTTGTCTTCTCTGTATATACTGCCTTTCCCGTGTGCCCCCCACCCCACTACATTATGGGTACTAATCGTAATGCCCTGTTTTCCCCTTTATCCCTTCCTTCCCACCCATCCTCCCCAGTCCCTTTCCCTTTGGTAACTGTTAGTCCTTTCTTGGGTTCTGTGAGTCTGCTGCTGTTTTGTTCCTTCATTTTTTTCTTTGTTGTTATATTCCACAGAGGAGTGAAATCATTTGATAGTTGTCTTTCTCTGCCTGGCTTATTTCACTGAGTATAATACCCTCTAGCTCCATCCATGTTGTTGCAAATGGTAGGATTTGTTTTTTTCTTATGGCTGAGTAATATTCCATTGTACATGTATATGTACCACATCTTCTTTATCCATTCATCTACTGATGGACACTTAAGGTTGCTTCCATTTCTTGGCTATTGTAAATAGTGCTGCGATAAACATACGAGGGCATATGTCTTTTTCAAACTGGGTTGCTGCTTTCTTAGGGTAAATTCCTACTAGTGGAACTCCTGGGTCAAATGGTACTTCTATTTTAAGTTTTTTGAGGAACCTCCATACTGCTTTCCACAATGGTTGAACTACTTTACATTCCCACCAGCAGTGTAGGAGGGTTCCCCTTTCTCCGCATCCTTGCCAAAATTTGTTGTTCCTGGTCTTTTTTATGTTGGTCATCCTAACTGGTGTGAGGTGATATCTGACGGTGGTTTTAGTTTGAATTTCCCTGATAATTAGCAATATGGAGCATCTTTTCATGTGACTGTTGGCCACTTGAATTTATTCTTTGGAGAACTGTCTGTTCAGCAATTCTGCCCATTTTTTAACTGGCTTATTTGCTTTTTCTTTGTTGAGGTGCGTGAGCTCTTTTATATAATTCAGATGTCAACCCCTTATCAGATATGTCATTTATGAATATATTCTCCCATACTGTAGGATGTCTTTTTGTTCTACTGATTGTATCGTTTGCTGTACAGAAGCTTTTTAGTTTGATATAATCCCTATGGGACAATTTTTAATCACTGAATTTACTTGTTATAGATCTATTCAGAATTGTCTGGCTTTTTTGAGCCAAATTTCGTAATTTGTGTTTTCCCAAGAATTTGTCCATTTCAGCTAGGTTGACTAATTTATAAGTATAAAGTTACTTGTATTGCCTGATAATCCTTTTAATCTCTGTCTTTTGGGATGGGTACTTAAGTTCTCTCCTTCATTCCTGTTTTTAATAATTTTTGTTTTTGCTCTTCTTTAGCCAAAGTTTGTCAGTTTGGTTCATCTTTTTTCAAAGAATCGGCTTTTGGTTTCATTGATTTTATTACCATTTTTCTGTTTTGTATTTCACTGATACTCAATCTCATCTTTAGTATTTCCTTCCTCTGTTTGCTTTGGGCTTAGTTTGGTCTTCTTTTCTAGTTTCTTAATGTTGAATGTTGCTGCTCATTTGAGCTCTCATCTTTTTTCTGATGTAGGAACTCAGACCTACACCTCTGCTAAAGCTGTATCTCATAATTTTGGTAGCTTTTCATTTTCACTCAGAAATCTTTTATTAAAAAATTTCTCATGATTTTTATCTTTTAACTAATGTGTTATTTAGAAGCATGTTGCTTAATTTCCAAATAATTGGGGTTTTCTCAGATTTTGCTCTGTTGTGCATCTCTAAGTTTAATTCTCTAGTTCTGGTCAGAGAACATATTTTGTAAGATTTCAACCTTGAATTTTTAAAAGCTTGTTTTGTAGCCCAATCTGTGCTCTATCCTGGAGAATGTTCCAACCTGTAAAGAACATTCATTCCATAATCAGTGGGTGAAATGTATTTGTATAGCATGCATTTTTCCATCTGTTTACTTTTAACCTATATGTATCTTTCAATCTAAAAAGCATGTCTCTTGTGGATAGCATGTAAATTGGGTCTTACTTTTTAATCCATACCGACAATTTCTGTCTTTTGGGTGAAGTGCTGCATCTGTCTACATTTAACTGAACTATTGGCTGGATTTTGTCTCCTATTTTGCTATTTTTTTTTGTTTGCTTCATTTTTTTTGGTTTGTTTTTCTGTTTCTCTTTCTTTGTTTTCTTGTGTTAAGAGAACTGCTTAAATTCCTGTTGATTTTTTATAATTTTTGAGTTATTTTCTTATAGTTTGCTCACAGATTACAACATGTTATCTTTTTTTTCTTTAAAGCTATCATTGATACACAATCTTATAAAGGATTCACAAATACTGTGGTTACAACATTTACCCATATTATCAAGTCCCCTCCCCCATACCCCATTGCAGACTGTCCATCAGCATAGTAAGATGCTACAGAGTCACTACTTGCTTCTCAGTGCTACACTGCCTTCCCTGTGACCCACCTACATTATGTATGCCAATCAAAATGCCCCTTAATCCCCTTCTCCCTTCCTCCTCACCCAACCTCCCCAACCCCTTCCCTTTGGTAACCACTAATCCCTTCTTGGAGTCCCATCCTTTTAATCTCCATATTATCTTTAGGGTTTTCTTTTTAAATTCTTGAGCATACTTATAATTGCTATTTTTTAACTCTTCATTGGTCAATTTTATAATCTCTGTCCTTTCTGGGTCTGTTTCCATTGACTGGCTTTTCTTCTGTTCCTCCTTTGGTGTCATTTCCTGAATTTCTGAATGTCTTGTAATTTTTTTTTGCATGCTGGGAATTTGTACGCTACATTGCTGAGTGCCTAGATTTTGCTGTCTTTCTTTAAAGAAGGTTGAGTTTTGATTTGGCAGGTAGTTAAGTTAGCTGTAGGTCAATTTGATCCTAAATTTTTTCTTTCAATCTTTATTAGAACAGGTCTAGTTTAGCTCAAGGTGTTACCCTTCTAAAGTCTCTATTAAATGTTCCAAGGTGTTCAATAAGCTTTCTCCATTTGGTGTAGTTAGAACTTCTCCCAGCCTTATTTAAGTTCTGGCAGTTTTTCATTTTACCAGTAATTGCTATCTTTCTCTCTTTATTAGATGTTCCTTACCCAGCTTTGTGGAGTCTCAATATATGTATATGTAGTTCACTGTTCAGTCAAATCTATGTAGATTTCTGTAGCCCTTTTTTGAGTAGCTCCCCACCTTTCCAGACACAAATTTCAGCCAATCTGTTCTTCTTGAACTCTAATCTCTTTCTTTTCAAATAAACCAGAACTTTGTGCTTTGATTTCCTTGTGCCATTATCTGGAAAATGCCACCAAGTAAGGGAACCACAGGGCACTTCATTTGTTTCTCAGTCCTGTGCTACATGTTGTCCAACATCTCAAACTGATTGTTTTCTATGTATTGTACAGTCTTATAAGCTGTTTATAGCAGGAAGGCAGTTACTGTCATGACCAGAAGCGAAGTCTCCATCTTCAACTTTTAAATTTTGTATCTTTTTCTTTTATACTATATTTAAAATACTGCATTTCTAAAATCACTAGAGCAGGCAAAAATCTAAACACTGACCAGTAGTTATTTGATGACTTTAAGGTATTAAGTTTTTTATGGAGTGACAGTTAAATGTGCTTATGTTAAAAGCTTTTATCTGTTAAACATGCAAATTTACAGATTAAATAATGTCTAGGATTCTTTTTCAAAATATGATAAAATGAGAGAGGGCAAGTGGGTATGGGTATAAATGAAAGAAGACTAGTCATGAAGTGAAAATTTCTCAATTATCAATTTGAAGGTGGGTGATGGGCTCACTATACTATTTTGTCTATTTTGGTACATGTTTAAAATTTTTCATAAGAAATAAAAGTCAGAAGTAATATCTCTGTGTGGTTACAGCTCCAACTTGATATGGCTGGGTTCATGTGTTTTATTTATTTTCAATTTTTAGGAGCTGCTTTGGTTTCTTTTTGACTTGATTCATGTTTTAATTATATAAAATATCTACATGGCTATTAAAGTAAAATTCTAAAACATCCTTCAGAGGTCTCCCTTTTATCCCTGCCTCTGTGTTTTCTCTCTCTCCTGCAAGTAACCATTTTTCATTCATTTTTTATTATCTTTCCACTGTTTCTTTCTGCAGGTTATAAATAAATATGGATATATATTTGTATTATGTCCCTTGGCCCTACCAAAAGTATCTTATTTATTATACAAACTCTTCTACAGTTTGCTTTCTTAACAGTATGTCCTACAGATCACTCTAGAGCACTGTAGAGATTCTTCTCCTTATTCCTTTGAATTAACCAGTTATCTATTTACACACATTTGGGGTTGTTTGTCTTTTGCTGTTCACAAGAATGCAGTATTTGTTATTACAAACAGTAAAAATGAATAAAATTGCATTACATTTTTACTTGTGTATCTTTGGTATATAGGATAGATTCCTAGAAAAAGTGTAACTTATATGTCATGATGCCAAGTAGTCAAATTCTTAATCTCTGTAATATAAGTATTCAAAGGAAAAAAATAAACAAGTAATTGTCTAAAGTAAATATAGGGCTACTGGTTTAAAGTTATAGTTGTGGGAGGGGTTAGTAAATTTGTACTTCATATTAAAGGTTTACAAACCAATCCACAGGAATAATACTTGTTAGCAGAATTAATAGCTACAGTCCCTGTCTTTCAGATACTTTCTTTTATTAAAAGTTAATGTTTGTTGTGACCTCAAAAAAAGGAATTGAATAAATAAAAGTATACCCTGTGCTTGGAGTATCTTCCACTTTCCTGCATTCAAGCAATTTGAAAGATCCCATCTCTTCCATGAGGCCTTTTTTTTTTGGTATCATTAATATATAATCACATGAGCAAGACTGTGGTTACTAGATTCCTCCCATTATCAAGTCCCCACCACATACCCAATTACAGTCACTGTCCATCAGCATAGAAAGATTCTATAGAGTCACTACTTGTCTTCTCTGTGCTATACTGCCTTCCCTGTGCCCCCCCAACCCTGTTATGTGTGCTAATCATGAGGCCTTTCTCAACAGGAAGATTCAGTGAATGATCCTAGCCCCTCCCTATATAAACATGCTTCCTTCACCTGCTTCATTTCACCTCACAATAGGCAACAATATGCCTACATGACATTTAAATGTTATTTGATAAGTATTATTACCAATAGATACTTGGGCTGGATGTCTTTTATGGCTACCTTCTCTGTCTACTCGGTCTGTGACAGTAAGCTTTCAAGGATGAAGGATTGTTTTCTTTCTTTTACATTTATATGTGACTGACACAGACACTGTACCGTTAAAGAGTCATTTAATAAGTGTTCTCAATACTAATTATCTATCACAAGCTATTTACATCTTTTTATAGAATTATCATTCACCATGTCTTTTGAATGACAGCTACTAGCAACTTCTTGAAATATAAGCAGTCCTAGTAATTTATAAATATCTGTACTGCATACTCATTGACTACAATTTTTAAGTTTTGTTTAAAATCTCAAGATAGTCATGTAATTGTAGATTAATGATACCAAAATTAAAAAAAAACTACACATTTTAATAAATAAATTCAATAAAGAATGATAATAATGCAAAAAAAAAAAATCTCAAGATAGGATTTGGGTCAAATTCCATTTCTACTTTAATTTACTCTTTTCCTTTTAAAATATCTTTCCTCTATAAATCCTGAATAAAACTTGCTAAATATATTTAATAGCCTACATTTAAAGCTAGTATAGGCTGGACACAAGGAGCTATGACCAAACCTTCTAAAACATAAAATACTTACGCATCTGTAGTCTTTGTACATCCATTTAGATTCAGTACTTCAATGTTCCTGCAGTTTTGTGCAAAGGTCCTTTGCAGGAAAGGAACAAAGAAAAAGGTTTGAAATGGGCAAAATTCTAGGCATTAAGAAATATGTATTAGGTAATAATGGGTGCTGGTACAAAAGTAGTTGAAAATTACAAATAAATTAATTTCAACCATAAACTTTTAAACATTGATCTTTTTGTCAACCAAGGTTAATATTATCCTAACTTTGAGTAAATGAAAAAAAATTTACTCAAAGCTCCAAAAGAACCGTTTATGATATGGGGAATTTGGTTTGGGGGAGCACTCGTTTGATTCTCAAAACTATGCATCCCACTACTGGATATTTTTGTGTTATAAGCAATGTATGTGTGTTTGGGTTCAGGATAGCTTAGGAATATGGAAACTATTTTAGTCTGTTCTGGGTGAGATGGTGCTGTTCTTTACCTGAGTCATGCAGATCAATTTATCAATAGCTATGTTCTTACCTTAATGCATTGTCTCCTACTCCAAGACATCCACGAAGACTTAACTTTCGTAAAAAGCCCCCACATCTTTTTGAAATATTCTCCACTACCCGGCCCTGTAAAAAAAGACAGATAAATGAAAATAAAGGCTACCACATTGCTTCTGAAAAAAAAAAAACACATCCTTATTTTTAGTAATTTATAAGGAAGGGGCTTCTACTTGCTTTAAAGACCTAATTAATTCAATTGGAAAACTTCAACTTATTGTGAGAAAGCTTTCCCAATTAATCCATCCACTTGAAACACGCCTAAACCCTGTATATTTATTTGTTTAATTTGTAAGATACTCTGTATTTGAGGAAATGGTGCTCTAGTTCTCTTATGCCACTGTAGTAATAGAAACTGCCCTCTTGTTTAACTGAAGCTACTGAGGACATTAATTCACTATACAGAAGGACATTAACTCATTATTTTTGTGTTCTTTCCAAAGTGTTTACTATAGTATGCTAAATACAGCCTCAAGACTCAATGAACACTTAACAAAAGCTTGCTGAATGACTTTGTAGGCCGTGTCACTTTAAGCATTTACATCCATGAAGATTATAGAAAAAAAAAATCTCTCCCCACCAAAAATAATTCAATAAATTACTATGGTTTCATTGTTCTTTAGTTCTCCATAAAAACTATGTGTAGGCTCCCCAATGTTCATCTCAAGAAGAATTTATGCAAATATCATCCCCTGACAAGTTAACTTTACTTAGTCTTCAATAAACAAATATAAAAAGACTTCCTTAAAATGAGCAAGCACAGGTTCGCATTTCCACAACAAAAATAAAAATGAAACTTTAAATCCTATTAATACTAAATAATTTAGTATTACTTTAGTAAAATAATTCTGCTCATTCTCAAAACCTGAACAAGCTCTTGGGAACACTATGGCTCCCATGAAATTCAGATGTACTGAAATTAATAGTTTCTCTCTCCAGAGAAAGGAGATTTATGTGTTTGGGGCTAATCTGTCCCATGCTGTGATTATATTCTAACAACAGAAATGGAGCCGCACACCACATAATTATACCTCAATATCCCTCTGGAAATCAAACAGGTCAATTCGCTGCCAGTTACTGCCATCCAGAGCCAGAACATTCCAGGCCTATTTTGAAGAAAAAGAAGACAAAATAAGCAGAAGTTGAATTAAAGGGGAAAACCCAGCAATATTCAAGTACACAATGCAACCTACTAATGATTAAAAACTGGCCAATTTCTCAGTAACCACACCGCCAATTAACTCCCAAAAGGTCTGCCTTGTTTCTGAGTCATACTTATCCAATCAGATTATCTCATAAATGAGTGAGTACAGAAGCTAGCAGCTATAAAAGAGGAGGTTGGGAAAGGACAGGTGATGAAGTTTCAGAGCCAGAAACTTTTTATACTGATTCTAGTTTCTAATCCCAAAATGAGAAGGTATAGTTGATAAAAAGTAAGTCCCTCAACTGGGAACAAGATGAGGGTGAAACCAAATAAATAGGACACGACTCTGAATATTTCTATGCTCAATATAGATTTGCTATCCATAGCATCACCTGGTCTGACTTGAAACTGTAATATGTGATTTGGAACTTAGAAAAGACATTGTCATTTCTCTGTATACTTCATAGAGCCTTCTGTAGTAACTTTTTCCTCACTCAAGCATGTTTTTTCAATTGGTCATGTTTCCCTTCAACTTGAGTCAGTGGTAATTTTAAAACAGTGAAAGCTTAAGACTTCTCATACATATCTCTAATAAGTTAAAGGGAGGCAAGAAAGTTTCTAAGCTTTTCAACTTGTCAGGATTAGGTAGAAAAAAAAAACTATAGCAAGTGTTATTTGTGGATCATTCTGTGCATTAATTAGAAAGCTTTTAAAGTTTTCCCTATTAAATTTAAAGTGTAAACAAAAGTCTTAATATTGTTGAGTTATAAAGTTAAGACTATCATTTTTTACTACAAAACACAATTTCAAAAATACTGAAATTCTAAGAAAGAAATTGTAAATACATTTAAAAGCCCCAGGGAAGTTGTCACACAATCAGTAAGAAATATGAAATATGTCAGGGGTTTATTATTCTAGAACTCTTTAAAGTTTTCTCAGGAGTTCAATGTTACTTTTCTTTTTGTGGCTTCATAATTTTCCAATGGTTTCTTAAATGGCTAGCCATGAGAAACAACAGATAAAACTTTTAAAGATGTTTACTAGATTCTTGGGCTAAATATACTTGTTATTTGGTTTGGTATTTCTCACTTCCTTATACTACTTTTTCCAACAAGCAGGAAATATGCCAAACATAAAGTATAATTAGGAATTACAAGTTCTTCTTCACAGAGTCTTTTAAAAAACAAATTAAATACTTTAAATACAGAAAATAATAGGATAACCACTAAGTACCAACCATCCAGATTTAATGAAAATTGGCACTGTGCTTTCCTTTGAGATAAAATATATTAAGAGGAAAGAGGTAACTGCAAATGAAAACAACAATTGAAACTCATTCAAATCAACATTCCTGAGATGAGACTCTGCAAATAAACAGGTTTAGACACTGGTATGGGTGTTTTGTTCCTCAGTGATGACCTCAGCTTCATATGGAGACAGAGAAGAAACTCCACTCACTTGCATTGGCCATGTCTATAGCAACCACTCAAGCACGAGAGTCAGAAATGTCATGAATAGAAATCATCAAAATACTACTAATTGTTTCCAAAATAGCAGTTACACAGACTTAGCATGGCTTGTAGGATGTAGAAATTACACTAAAGTTAGCAAGGCAAGATGAATTTTCTATGGTCAATTGTGGGTTGTTTTGAGGGGGGCAGTAGTGCTGGTAATCTGAAGGAAAACCTGGGTCCATTTACAAAGATAAATGCAATACTCTATAATATGATCGTATTATATACCCAGAACTTAGACCTGGTAGATAGTAGGTTACCAATAAATATTTGTTAATACATTAAAAAAGCCATTGTCTCATTTTTAAAAAAGATGGTAATTGTAGGTATTCATTTCATTAAGTTTATTATATATATTTATTAGAAAAGACTAGGATTGGTTCATAAAACCATTTTCCCACAACAAAGAATCTATTCTTTATTTCAGTGGAAGCCAATAAGATTATGAGTTTCACTGTTTTGTCACAGCAATGTCCACTGACAAAAATGGGTAATTAAATTATGATGCAGAAACTGACTTTGAGAATGAAATCTGGTTTGCTTTATAATTTTTAAAAAATTATTTTGTAGGTATTATCTTTTGAAGAAAGAATATGGGGAGATAATATGAGAATTAGGCCCTCAAGAGCTTTCTGTGTTTATGGTTGTATGAAATGAATTAGGGAAACATAATGAAACACTATCCTATTACAATTCTGAGTGCAGCCTAACCTTTTAATTTGTATGTTCAATGGTTTTTCCTTGAAAATGTTTCCTCTGTTGTAGTATACAGTCGAGAGTTCCAAAAAAATTAAAATTAGAGATAGTACATGTAGTACAATCTTGTTGTAGAATTACATGGGTTTGGGTATGCCATGGATGAAATAACATCCTTTGAAACATAACATATAACTAACATCTGTAGTAAGTGGTTCACCTTCTACAGAGGCTGATATCAGTGACAGGAAGGGGTCTCCCTGTAATCATGTTAATCATTCTTACCCTGGAGACCTGAGCACAACGACACAAGGTTACAACATCCAGAAAAGAAAATATCCTAAAAAGAGAGGGAGACAAAGTTTATTATAAGATAAAGTAGTTTCTCTTGTTTTCTTCCTATAAATAATTGGCTATGTTAATACATGCACACAAAAGGCAAGTTTTTTTTTTAAATTTTAATACAAAAAGCTGGAGCAGTTTGCAAACAAAATATTGCACATACAAAACACTGGGGGAGAAAGTAATCTTTTACTTGATAATATGTAAGTACCATATAAGTTTAATTACTTACATCAAAGGATGGTAAAATATTTCTAACTGATACAATTTTTTTTAAGTAGAAAAATATGTTCCACACTTCTGGTTATCAAAAGAAATAGGTTAGGCGAGGGATATCTTTATAACTCTGCTTTGTGGTATAGAATTTTGAGCAATTCATTACCTTTTGTTTATATGCTTGAAATAATTCAGAATTTTTTCTTGAGCAAAGAAAATAAAATGTAAAAGTAGTATAGTGTTTTATTGAGGTGAAGTTATGATTAGGCTTTTTACTTTTCGTCAAAGGATGTCAAATCTACTACTTTGAGGTACAGGATTCAATTATCAATCTACAACTAAGAATATTTCTACTCTAAGACCTTGTGAGTTATGGCCCTTGCACTATTCTATCATGATGAAAAGTCCAGCTAAGAGAAGTGATGTTTACAGAAGACTATCTGAAGGACATTCATGATTCTTTTTAGTATGCTATAATCTACCTGTGGTGGGCACTATGATTGAGTCTCCAATATCCACTCCATCCAAATTAATTAGTAAAAGCCTGCCACATTGATTGGTTTAGGCCTAAGCCAATTTGGGCTAACAAGACCTGAGAAGAGGCTTTACTGGAACAGCAAATGCCAGCCCATCTCTCTCCCCAGGAGTGAACCACTATTTGCTAGCATACATCCTGTGCTCATAAGGAAAAGCAGCTTTTCTAAACAAGCTGATGTTGTTCAAGGCAGAACACAGACAGAAAAATTGTTGATAACACTGTAGATGCCCCAAATCAATTAACCCTGTGATGCAGGTAGCCTGATCTTTATATCTCCTTTTATATGAAATAACCACTCTTACTGTTTAAGCCAATTTGAGTTGGAGTTTCTATTACCTGTGTGGGTTAAATCGTTACATTTCCAGAATATCTCGTCTGGCTTTAGTACATCTGCGTATTAGCAGGCGTTCAGAGATGGAAAGAAGTATGGCTTTAGTGCATTTGCATCATTCCTCAGTGGTGGAGAGAAGTTCATCTCCATATCAATGGGTAATTACCTGGGCAACTGGAGGGCTTATCTGTACCTGAGAGGTGAGGGGAAGGGCTGGTTTTGCTTCTGCTGGGGCAGGAAAGAGAGAAGGGCCCGGACTGCAATTTGTAAGCAATAAACGGATTTTAAACTTTATTTCTCCCTTTGACTGGTTTTGGTTTTTAGAGGTATTTTTCCCTGGGATTTCCTCTCCCCGGACTTACACCTGGTGCAGTTGGTAGGATTCCTCTGAACCCGAAGTCTGTCACAACGGGTGCAACTTTTGGGAGGGCCGCCCCTAGAAATGATGGGGAGAAGTGGCACTCGTGCTGAGGGACATGTGTCTATCGTGTGGTCGTGGAGGCACCACCACCGCTGCTGGCTGCGCTGACTCCGGCCTGCAGCCCAAGCCTAAGGCTACTGCCTCTGCCACTGCTGCCACTTCTGCTGCCAGTTGGAGCCTGGTCACAACTATGGAAAAGAGCAGAGGTCTGGTACATCTTGATAGAGAAGCAATTGGCTGCTGTGTACCATGTCTTGTTGGCTATGGAGCCCATCACTGGAAAAGCTCCAACCAAGGTAACAACCAATCCCACTCTAGGGTGGGTGAGAGACTGGACCCAAAGGCCACAGAGTGGTGTGGCACAGACACCTACCATATATCATGTTACTGGCCATTTGCCTTTGGCATCCCCAGGGAAGGGTGAAGCAGATGCATTGGCCCAGGTGCACTGGCTAGAAGGAAAGCCTGCCTCTGATGTGGCGCAATGGCTACATCAGCGTTTGTTGCATGTGGGGCAAAAGACAATATGGGCTGTAGCCCATCAGTGGGGCTTGTCATTGACCTTTGAAGATGTCAGCCAATCCCGGAAGAAGTGCCCTGCACGTTGTGCAGATCAGCAAACCACCAAGGGGGCCTAGAGCATCTCTTTGCAGCCTTTGGCTGGCACTGGTGATTGAGAGCTATCAAGGCACTCACTTTATTGGACATGCATTGCAAGGATGGGTGCAGCAATTAGGAATAAAATGAACGTGGCCTTGGACATTTCAACACATGGATTGGTGATGGCTGGCTCTTCTGGCACCTTGGGTTTCCTGGAAGCTGGCTTCCTGTGTATTCCTGGAGTAACAGCAAAGTGGCCCTCCACAATCACAGTTATTTGCTTCTACAGTCCTTATGTCCTGGATGCACCCCCTGGCTCCAGCTGCCACGTGATGGATGGAATGGATGAGCTTTGGACTTAATCTGCATGGGACTTTGACCTGAATCCTCTGGCTTGTGAATTATCATGATTGTGTTGCTGTTGTCAAGAAAAAATGCTTAAAGAGAGGCTTGACTTTGTTTAATGTTTGGTTAAAGTTTTGTGAGCAATCTAGCATAGTTGCTAGGAATGAGTAAACAAGTGTAGAAACATACTTTCTGCTTAGTGAGAGATTGTGCTGTTAAGTACATTTACTCAACCTGCATAGGCTGAATCCTCTGGTTTGAGGATTATCAAAGATTTTATTGCTGTTGCTACTGTATGTTATTAGATAGGTCAGAAGAGGGGGAACCAGTAAATTGTAAGGCGAGATTTCTGGAGGGGTGACCTGTGGGTAAAATTGTAACATTTCCAGAATATCTTGCCTGGCTTTAGTACATCTGCATATCAGTAGGCATTCAGAGGTGGAAAGAAGTATGGCTTTAGTGCATTTGCATCATTCCTCAGGGGTGGAGAGAAGTTCATCTCCCTATCAATGGGTAATTACCTGGGCAACTGGAGGGCTTATCTGTACCTGAGAGGTGAGGGAGAGGGCTGGTTTTGCTTCTGCTGGGGCAGGAAAGAGAGAAGGGCCTGGACTGCAGTTTGTAAGCAATAAACAGATTTTAAACTTTATTTCTCCCTTTGACTGACTTTGGTTTTTAGAGGTATTTTGCCCTGGGATTTCCTCTGCCTGGACTTATACTTGTAGCTAACACCACCTTGGATCAACTGTAGTGTCAGAAGCATGCACTTTACATGCTATTACTTTGTTTTTTAACTGTTTTAAAGGATGCTACAAGATGTGACCAAATGAAATCTGTGACTGAATTTGCTCTGGAACTTTTATCTACCAAATCTAAGTAGACTCTGATTTGAAAAACTCCTCTTAGAAACTACTGCTAGGAAATGCTGTTTTTATGGAATAATATGTGTATTTCTTCTTTTCTGTTAAGAATGATGTTTCTTCAAGTTAAATTTGAGACTCATCTATAGCGACTATGTAGGTTCTTACAAGGGTGCATTTGTTTCCTTTCTAGCTTTAGTTTTCTACTTTACATTTTTCACAGCCTTAATTATTTATCTGTATTTATTACATTTGCTACTGATCTAAGCCACCTCAAATGCTCTGGAGATAAATTAAATTAGTAAATAAAAAAGCAAGTAGTTTTCAGAGTTATAGCTAACAAGCTGATTTACATATATATTAGATTAAAAATGCATAAAATATTTTTTATATTTTATAACTTATAAGACTTCAACCACCTTAATTAACAGAGAACATTTAAGCTGAGAGAGAATATGTAAGAGTACAATTATCTGGACATATGGCCAAATGTGAACAACTGTTATGCACAGCCCTTTTCCTACCACATCCATCACCAGGTGATGACAAGCTGGTATCTGATTGAACCTGGATGGAAAGCTACAGGACAACCACCAAGCTATATGATGTTTTAGCCAAATCTCTTCATTTCATTTGCCCAAGAGGCCTTGTGATTCCTCCTGATTTTCTAAGATTTCAGTAAAATCCAAAAGAGCTATATATATCCAGTCACTCACTCTTTCATGGCTTTAGTTAGTACTTATATGTTGATGACTTCTAAGTCATGCTGCTAAGCTTTAGACTGGTTTACACATCTGCCTTTCAACATTTCCACTTGGATATCCACAACTACCAAAACTGAACTCATTTTCATTACTTTCCTCCAACTAAGCCTATTCTTCCTCCTATTTTCTTTATCTTAGTGAATGTTCCACTAAATACTTGGTAAAAAGCAAAAACTTATGCATCATTTTTTACTCCTTCCCAATATCCCCATTAGCATCACATCAAACCAGTCAGCAAGTACATTTGACAAACCCAATTATTAAAAAATCTCTTGATTGAGTCCATGTTCTAGACAGCCCATCACTACCATGGGGTTAATTAAGGCCATAATTTCCACTCAATAAAAATTATTGCAACAACTTTATATTTGCTTTTCTTGTCTTCAGCAATAAGTGTTTTTTGTTAAATAAACAAAAAAACATAAAGAGCAAATACCTTCCTCTTCAATCCATTCACTAAGGTAACCACCAATAATTTAAATAATGGCTATATGAATAAATGCCTAGAGGGGGTCACTCTTAACAGAGTTAACAGTCACCCACTTACAAAAGTCAGTTATTGATCTATCCTTCATGTTCTCTTTGACAATGACTGCATACAAGAGAAGAGAGGCCAGCATCAAAGAAAATGTCCACAAGACCTTTGCTACAATAAATCAGGAAGAGTGAGATAAGGTTGAAGAATCAGAGAACATGCTCTAACAGCATAGAAGGAAGTATCACTTTTTGTTTGTTGTTTATCATATGGGCAGAATTTTAAGTTAAATATAAATAATTTATTACATAATTATATTTATAATTTTATTAAAAAATTAAAATAAATTTATATGTAAATTATATGTATATTTTAAAGAAAATTCACATTCCATAAATATTCACCTTGTAAAATTCAGTGGTTTTTAGTATATCCACATGTTGTACAA